CACGAAACAATTTTTGCAAAATTGTTTGTCTAACTAAAAACTAAGTTTTTTGCAAATTTCATCAAAAACTGAGTTTCTCATCAATATAAATCTGAAATAAATTTAAAATAATTATCAGACACAAATCTGAAATTAAAATTTGAAATTAACGTAAAGTTCGTGCATAAGTTAATATTTATAGTTTCTCAATCTTCTTGCAACCAATATTAGTTCTGATAATATTGTATTTCTAAGAGCAGACTTATATATCATAACTTAACGGGTCAAGTTACCGTGTATCTTTCATTTGTTAATGATAAGACGGATCAAATAAAGAAAAAGAGAGAAACATCAAAAAGTTTATTAGAAATTGCGGAGCGAAACTTTCTCAGAAAGTTTAGCTATTGTTTTGCGGGAATTTAATTTCTATTCTGAAGATGCGATAACAATGCCCAGAGTTTTGTTCGCATGGAACGAATCGTAACGAGGTGAGCCGTGAAACACTTTTATTTCGTCTACCGTTTAGATGCATTTCGCGGAACTCTGATATCGCGATCCTCATTACGTTTCATAAAGAATGAGCGGAATTTCTGTTCGTGTTGTTTTAAGACGTGCTCGTAACGCGCTCATCGGCCCGTAATACGAATCCTCCGTGATTAATAATGCTCATTTCGTAGTGACGTAGTAATACAAGGATATCGATAAGCCGTCCGCCGGAAGTGCGGTAAACCGCGATTTAAGGAATTCCCCTCTCTCGCTAGATTAGAGTCATATAAAAAAATCCACTATGACGTTCTTTTACGACGTCATGTCGATCTCGCTTAGTTAGGTCTCGATTTCTCGACACCTACGCGTGCTTTTACTGCCGGTCATGGGACGCGTGGCGAGAAATAAAATTTCGAGCAAAATCCATGAGCGAGGGTGTATTAATGAAAAATTCATCGATCCGTAAAACGTAACGGCGTAGCCGACAACGCTGTTACGTAGCGTACGTAGCCCGCATCGGTTAAATGCGCCGTTACGGTCCCGTTTTCCGGCAACCCCGTTCTGGCTTGTATATAGAACTTTTGAGCGACCAATCGAAAGTTCATGCGGAAAAAGTTTGAATAGTAAACTCCGCAATCCTTAAGAAAAAAAAGCTTATTTATTAAATACATTTCTGGAAAATATTTTTTTCAAATATTTCTTTCTCGGCGAGGAGGATTGTTTAAAAATTTATAAATTTATTTTTACCGTCGTGCATTTCTTTTTTTATTTTTTTTTAAGAACCGACGTATCTTGACATAATAAAAACCTTGGGTATAGACGGATACTTGAGCCTCGAGGATTTTGTCCTCGTTTGTTAATTATGCGGGCGTTACTACGTCACGACAAGGGAATTGAGCGAAAACAAGGAAGTCGTAGTTCGTATCGTTTACTCACTTATTTCACTTAAACCGTGTTAAGGCTATTTTTTACGATTAGCCAGCTCCCTACGCCAGTGTATCTTTATCTCTCCTCGAAATGTTTACGACACGCGCGAAACTGAAATAAGTCGCCGTTTCCCGTCGAAGCTAAAACAATAAATTGAACATCTGATTAATACGACTACGTCAAATTAATTCGAATTTGGATGTTATTAAAATGTATACGCATGCATCGCGCATACAAATGTTTGACGTTTTCCTGCTTCACGCGCGATTATATATGCATCCGTGTGCGATCGATATTATGCGATGTATATATTGTGATACTGAAAAGAGAATATAAATTTATCAAGTATCGATTTTACGTTCTGCATATCGCGAAATATAATTTTTACATAATTTTTGCATAATTTCCCACTAATGAAATGCTCTCACAAGAACGCTCGATCGGATTAATTAATCAATTAGAGATTTATATTTTATTACGTATATAATTACACATTGTACAATCTATCTTGATTAATATCTATGATTAACATCTCCGATATATGGGAGAGAGAGAGGCCATTGCCACGGCGCGGAGCATCCCCTGCGCTAGCGTTTCTATGGCGTCTCGAGAATCGTTCATCAAAGCGTATAATCGATCGGGATGGAACGTATTGTCTGTCGTCAATGAGACGCAACTATATAGGTACGTGTTACACGTCCGTATGCGATATTAGACGGAAAATATGATGCCGCGGCACAACCACGCGGCGTGTACGGTGATGCGGAACGGATGCGCTCCGCCGCGGAATCCATTTCCAACTTGACGTTGAGATATATATATGACACCGTCAGGAAATTGGAAGTGCGCAAGGACGCGTATGTTCCATGCACG